GAATGCCTGAGATTTCACCACACGACTTAGAATGGCCTGTGATTTAAAGCACGAACTGTTTACTTCTGGAGCTTTCCACTCAGTATTTTCGGACAGTGGTTGACCGCAAGTAACTGAAACCGTGGATGAGGGGAGACTATGCGGTTATAAAAGAAAAACATATCCTGAAGCTTGCTTATCACTGCAATGATCTGTTTACAGTTTCCCTGTGCGCACAGGAGATTAGCAGAACTCAGATAAGGTCAGGGGGACGCCTTATCAGAAAGATAATAAAGTAATGAAAAGGAACCAGACTCCCAGGGTAAGGAACTGAGGGGCCGCTGCGCTGGCTGAATGGGGTGGAGGCGTATGAAGGTGTCATGTGGATCCTGGGATCTGGAACTGTCTCTCTATCACACTGACCCCTGACACGACCCGCCCTGCGCTTGGGCCCAGCAGGGTGGCAGCCAAAGTAGTTTTTCAAATCACAATGTAGATGCCACTTTCCTACTTAAACCCCCTGCATGGTGTCCCCCTGAACTTCGAATAACATACAGGATCTTCTGTTCGGTCTGTGAGGCCCTGTCCACCTCTGCAGGGCCAGTCTCCTCCTCCGGCTCCAGGTCCTGGGGCCTTAGCAGAGCCCAGTGTGTCCGTTACACCCCCTCTTCACACGCCCTGCTTGCCCGGTGCCTGCCCATCCTTCTCAACCTGAATGTTGCTTCTTTCAAGATGCCGTTCCTGATCCTCCGGTCGAAGTCAGCCCCTGTTCCCTTCCTTCACGTCGCCGTTCCCAATGACACTTTGGGGGGCATTGCTCAAGGTCTGGCTCCCATATAGACGGCCAGCTCCTTGAGGACAGGGACTACTCGCGTTATTGCCTCTCCCGGATTCTAACTCAAAAAATGTGTGCTGAACAAAGGGTCTCGGTAGCCAACCTCAGGACGTGGAGGCCATTGGTTCACTGTGGAAGACGCCTTGAGGTTGTCTATTTTAAATCCCCAGTTTCACAGAAGAGGAAAAAAGGC